GTACAGGCGCGTTGGGCTGGACTCAGTTGCTTAGTAGTAGCTCAGTCGCCGTCTCCACGTCCCAGGATTTGGAGGACAATGCCACTATTACTGCGTTCTGCCGGGAGAGAGAGAGAGAGAGGAGGGCGCTGTGAGCGTGCCCAGCGGCCGTGTGACCACCCAACCAGCCTCCAGCTACCCACCTTATCGAAACCCATGGCGCACAGCTTGTCGATTTTGCGGGTGTACTCGGCGCTGGAGACGGCCGCCCCGGCATAGACGTGCGCCCACAGCCGTGCCGTCTGCTTGAACATCTCCGGGTTCTGCTTGTACTACGGCAAAAATAAAAAAAAAGCGTCAGGATGACGGCGGCACTGATTGGACAGACGGCGCAGGTCCGCCCCCCACTTACCTGATTGGCCACCACCGCATCCTGAGGGTCGTCCGGCTCAGCGGCGGCCAGCAAGGCCTGCAGCGATAGCAGCACGGTGCGTAGCGTCATGGCGGCTGCCCTGAAAGGCAGGGGTGGCACACGTGAACGTGAATGCACACTGCTCACAAATTCTTGGGCCGGGCTTACGGTGCCCTGTCAATCACTGACCGCCCATATCCCATTGGCTATTTAGGGTTCCCAACAAGTTAAATACGTTTTTAATCGTCAGCTTTGGGGTGACCATGTTGGGGAAGGTGACACAGTGAAATGACATCGAATAGAAGTGAATACTGTCAAAATCAGCCTCTTTCCTGGGCCTGTAGTTACTCACCACTGGTCTTTAAGAATATCCAGGCATATCGCTCCAGTGACTGAGCTAATATTGGGGTGCCATATCTTCGTTATAAATCGTACCTGGAGGACAGGGGACAGCAGTGTCAGAGAGGACCCTGCCTGAGATGAGGCAGCTCGAGGGTTGTCTAGTGCTCTGGGGGTAGGACTGGTGTGGCCCCATTCCCCTGGCATGGGTACCAGGGTGCTGACACGTGTTGGCATGGATACCCACCTTTGGCGGGTTGAATGGGTACGTTTCTGGGATCTTGATTTCCAGCTGATACCTCCCACCTTCCAAGGCAAAAAAAAAGTCCCAGTTAAAAGATGAAAAATTCAATTTCTCTTACAAAAGCTTTGATGTTTAAAACCACAAGATGACAGCCCCAGCTGTACCGCGATAAAGGGCCCGTCAAAAGAATTGTGAGTTTAGGAAGGTGTTCCTATTAACCCCTTTCACACAATCTGTCATGTGACAGATCATGGTTCCCCTGATATCTAACAGCCATTATAAAGCCACTTTTAACCAATCTACAGTCATGCAATGCTTATCCGGCATATATACAAATGAAGTCAGGGGTGGGCAATCTTATCTGCAGAGGGCCGGTGTGTGTGCAAGTTTTCACTGCAACTCCATAATTAGATTACTAATTAGAGGACTGATTGGCTGAAGAGTCGTCACACCTGGGTTTGAACAGCTGACCTAAAGGTTATCCCAAAAGCCTGCATACACACCGGCCCTTTGCGGATAAGATTACCCACCCCTGCACTAAGTTATCCTCCTCGTGTCTGTGTAACCAGAGTTCCCGATTTTCACCTAAAGCGGTGTTTCCTAATCCGCTCCTCAAGGACTCCAGAGTCGGACCATGTTTTTACCCCCTCCGAGCTCCCTACCAGACAATCCACATATTTCCTCCTAACGGTAGCTGGGAGGGAGCGAAAATGTGGACTGTCTGTGGGTCCCCAAGGACTGGATTGGGAAACAGTGACCTAAATAATCACTGGAATTCTACCCACACAATTTTACCACACGTTTCACCTGTAGTTAAACACTTTTCATCTGTATACCCAGTGCAATTTGCACTCACCCACACAATCAATGCCTGAAAACCCATCTGCTCCAGGAATTCCACTGCTAGCCTGATGTCTCTCCATGTTCCCTGAACGTTCTTAATGTTGATTCTTGCTTTGTTTGGAAGATACTGTGTAACTCTTGCTCCGGTACCGCCTATACTGACAGCTGGGCATTCACTAGTCATCGCTTTGACAGCACGTACATTTGTAATGTGCTATTTGCCTCACTGATACGTCGCTTCAGACAACAGAGTCTGATAAATAAGAATAAATGTAAAAAGTAATAGTAGCAAAGTTCAAATTTCTCCTTTGGAGGGGAAGGCTTCACCTTCCCCCCAACACTTCCTAAAACTCACGTTGCTGTTCTTCCCGAGTACATTCTGGAACCCATGAACAAAATCCTACACAGACCTAAGCCACTGAGAGTGTGGGGGGGGGTACTCACCCTCATATGGCGTGTCAGGAGGCCCTGCAATTTCCCCCTTCAGCTCTGTAAAGTTTTCATCTACGAGGTCCACCTTAATTTGATTTTTGCTCGTCTGTCAAGGGGAAAAAAAACAAAAGCAGAGGACATTAATTCAGAGGGCTATTTTACAGGAATCCTGCGGGATGATCGCAGCACAATACATTTCCTGCTTCTGTGTGGGGCCGCAGTGAATGTTACATAAGCAGATCAGTTATACAGCACTGGAACAATCCAGCTGTTTGCCAGTTTATGGCTGTTTATTCCCATCTGCCTGCTCCGAATTACTCAGTCATCGTCCACAGTCAGTTTTACACTTACAGCTGACTAAAGAAGTGGATCTAGGGCATCAGCAGACAGCCAGAACCAAAGAAAGAGGACAAACAAGCTGGAAACATGCTGGTAGGAAGGTAAAGAACAGAAGAACGTTGTGGGCTTGCGCCTCTGAAACCAGATGTGCCCGAGACTGGCACCTGACTGCAGCTGGGCATGCCACTGCAGCAAGGTCAGTGAAAAACGGGAATTAAACCCCTAGTTCTGATTAATCCTAAGAGATAAAGAATTGCCCCCACCAGGACCAGAAATGCAGCCGAAACGTCGCATGCAACGCTCTCTGCAATAGGTCACACGGCAAAGACCTGCACACAAACAGTATGTTTCCGGAATTCCGGGAACACCCAGCGCCCTAACTTGAACCGCACGAGTTAATTTGGGAGCTCTGGAGCCCCGGATCCATCAGCACTCGCAGGAAGCTTTCTCAGGCTACGTGACATTAACACTTTATGGACCCCTCCCCCAAGTACTTAACAAAAAAAACAACCTGAAATCTCACCACTCCCCAAAAGGGTTACATTTAATACCTCCATACCCTGGGAAATACAGACCCCTCACACATGCAAGTGCTGCTGTCACCAGAGTAAAAGACTGAACCGCGACGAAGGCAGTGACAGGCAGAAAACTAGCATTTCATTCACAGTAATTAGCACTTTGGGCAAAATTCATGAATACCCAGTAAAATTGCCAAGCAACTAATTACTAACTTCCTTGAGACTGTAAAAAGTAGCATAAGTATCAAATTTTATTTTCACTTTAATTCATCTGAATTATCTGATATGATACAATTGATATAATAATCACATTTTATAACTCTCAGTTACTCATAAACCCATTTTAAGATGCCATATTTAAAAGGGAAGACTGTATAAGGATTGTGAAATGTTCTGGATCGAATTTCAGGAGGGCAGCTTTTGCTATCTTATTATATTAATATTAAATTGCTTGGTCGATTTCTACATTATTCAGTCACTCAGTTGACTATCTTTCCATTCTGTAAATGTTGTTGAAGCACCAGGATCAGTATGATAGGATGTGCCTGTATCAGAATTCAAAAGATTGCTTCCGTTCCCCAAGTCAGCAACATGATCATGTCTGTTTCAAGACATGAAAGTTTCTTGGCACAAAACTACCTGCAAGCAAAATAAGATCATTGTATTACATTGGTATGCAGTTCATGTTTAAATACGGCTCTGGAAAAAATTAAGAGACCAAAGCAAAATTTTCAGTTTCACTCATTCCTCATGCCTGCGTAAAATATACCTTTTTTTGCAAACTTCAGCTGAGCTCTTCCCTGTTTCTCTCTGAGGAAGTGCTTCTTCCTCGCTTTATGGGACTCTAGTTCTGCTTCTTTGAGCCTGATACAAACTATCCTAGCAGTGCACTTCACACCTGCACTTCCCATTCCTTTTGAAGGTCACTTGAGGTCATCCTCTTATTCATGAGGAACTGCTGGATAAGCTGTCGGTCATCTCTGGCATTAGAAAGTTGCTTCCGCCCTCTACGTGGCTGGTTTTTGGTTATTGCCAGTGTCTCCTGCTTCACCTTTTTCTTGCGTACTGCTGTCTTAGAAACTTTTAGCCTGGAAGCAGCCTGCCTCACAGTGCAGCCTTCTGCCAGCAGAACCGGGATTAAACCAAAACTTAAAAAATAGAGTGGTCTCATTTTTTCCAGAGCTGTACCTTGCTACAGATTCATTATTGTTATAGTTTAAAAGGTCCTATTTGACAGAATATGCCCTCTGTGGCATTTTACAAGCTTGCTTTGGAGCATATTGACACAGATGGACTCAGGACTGCGCTCCTTCCATGACGTCACTCCTCACAATCGCAGTGCAATTTATGCTAATTTAATCATCACCCAACAGATTCCATCAACTGGTGCTTTCAGACCAGACGTTGTGCCTCATTGATCACAGCACAAATTGTACAAGGTCCATAAGGTCTGGGAGTGTATTTTTTAAATGATTTTGGTAACCTTTAGTTTAGGGGGGAAAAGAGCTGTTACAGCATACTGTTTAACACAGCTGACTGATGTCAAAATCTCGCCCTAAGTCCTTCATCTAAATACAATGACTTTTGACACGCCTTACTAAAACTTATTTTAAAAACAATTCAATAAGGATTAATACATGACAACTCAACTTAAAATGAATATATACAAGTGTGGCTAGATTTTTAATAGACTATATAAATTAAGATAATCGTTAATGATTACATAAATGTGTTTTCTTCCTGAGAATAGGACAAATCTATTTTCGGAGGACTTTATTCTTGCAATTGTATTCTCAGGAAAACATTAAACAAATGCAAATGATATTAAGGGTCCACAGCTAATGACTGGACACAAAATCAGCAAACTGCAATAAATAGCCTGCTTCATCCTTTGTTTGGACAACTTTACAAAAAAAAAGCAAGTGCAATTTTTTTTATACAACATTATCAATTAATATTGGTACTAACTGCATACGAATAACGCTGGCCTGCTGTTCTCAGCTTCAACCACGAGATCCACATTAAGCCCCAGTCATATGTAGATTTCAAGACGTCTCAATACGTTTCAAAACCGCGTTGTTCCGTAAATAATTAAAATTTCGCTGCAGACAATCCCCGTAAAACTGGGACAGCTTTATCAATTCTGGATAAAATATGCTGAGAATCTGGGTAGACAGCAAGGTTTTCATCACCTGGATTACCACGCGTGCATCCGCGGCCTCTCCAATACTGTTCAACAAAATGGATATAATTTATAATAAATAGTTACAAGGGATGCACGAGTTTTACAGTCATCCTCCTTAAATTACAAGGAGCGACGCGCTTTTGACAGCTGAGTCTCCGAAGGCAGCTGGGTAATGATGTCGGTTAGCCGCGTAGCTAACAAGCTAAAGGAGCAGCTTTACGTGGAAAGTTAACCTCGTCTAAAGATATCCAGGTGTTCTTTTCTTAAGTTTGCCTATGCGCCTCATTCCTGCGTGCTAATAAAATTAGCTTAGTGACTAGCCACTTGTAGCTAGCTCGTAAAACTCACTGTATATCAATGACAGTAGTTTGACTATAACGTAACGGAGCTGACAGTTCTAACCGCTAACACTGAGCTAAATGACAGGGGAAATGACCCAGACGCTGCCGGCAAACACCCCCGGGTGCTCGGCCGGCTCGCCCGTTTAGCTCCCGGGCTGCAATAAAAGCCCTACCGCTCCTCTACGTTATGGTACGGGGGGCGGCCGTTAGCACCATCCCTCGGCCCATTAGCCGGTTAGCACCGTCACCCTAACCCGGCCCCAGCACCCACTTCTCTCCGGGAGGCGCTTCCCACCAGCGACAGGGACCCCCTCCCCCCCCAGGTAGCCGCATCGCAGCCCCCGTCGCCTCGCCCGCACGTTCCGGGGGGCCTCTCCGGCGGCTGTGTCGGGACTAGACCGGCCACACGTTAACTCCGACTGGGGGTGGCTCTAACTTCCACGGCCCTCCGTGGCCTTTAGCCCGTCAGCTTCACAACATGGCTGTTCCCTTTCCCTTAGATACACGGAGAGCTAGATGACAAAGCAGGTTGAAATGGCAGACCTCTTCGCTCTTCAGGACCTCCTTAAACTCCCGTTTGATCCTCTGCACTGCGATGTTAGCCATAGTTATGGCTTCTCCCCGGATCAGGCCTTGCTTCGCTCGGATCCCCCGCTCTCCTCCTCTCCTTTCCTTTCCTCTCCTCTCCACTCCTCGTCCTCTCCTTCTTTCACCTTTTTTCCAACAAAAACAGAGCCCCCCCTCCACCTCCTAAACACAAATGGCGGCCCGTAAAACGCGCATTATGCTACATGCAGAATACTACACGGGAAGTGCGAGGTCCGCTAGGCAGCGCTGGATGAGTATTTGACGGTGCAGAAGGTGTCTGGTCTGCGGGCTCCAGGAGCCGGTCTGCCGGATAGCTGTAGATAAGGCAGGCTGAACCGGTTAAAATAGCCACATGATTCATATGATACTACATATATACTCCTATGTTCCTCTGTGCATGCATTTTTATTTGTCAAAATTTTAAATAAATGTATTTAAAATCTTGTTATATTTAATGACCCAGTTTTGATAGATCATACAACTGACACGTTCTAAGAAACTTTGGTTAAACAGCGCGCGCGCCTGTCGCCTTTAGGGAATATAGTTTTGTACCCGGTGGACAGAAATCATAACAATTGTTATTGCTGTTATATGGAAGCTAACTTGGATCTCGATATAGCCCGCGTATGAGCCCATGAATAATCCTCGGGAAAAGCCAAGTACTAAATGCTGCTCTGAATGTTTGGCATGTGGTTTTTATCGCTTACTTTCTTTACTCGCAAAGCCGTGATAGTACGTGCCTGTATTACTCTAACTAATTAATTGACATTGTCCTAACACTTTGCTTACTTTTAGAATTTAAAAAAACTAACCAGCTATTTTGAAACATTGCATCTATATTCTACTGATAATATAAGCTTAACAAATTGTTTTGAGTGTTAAATATATAGCTTAAACATAATATTAGTATAACATGATGAGTATTAAAATATGCACTACCGTTGTATTTAAAATTGCGTGATTTAATGATTTATGTCAAAGTGTATTTTTAATATTTATGAAGGAGTTTATATATAGGCCTAGTAAATATAAAAACAAAAGTAAGGCCACGTCACTTAGGAACCAGTAAAACCTTGAATCACGTTGTACTTCATTATTATACAGCATTAAAAAGCACATTTTCTCTAATGCTATTTCTGTTTAGAGCTGATTTGTCAATGAGAATGATGGCATCAGGGGTGTCAAACTGCAGTCCTGGAGGGCCAGAACCCTGTGTAGCTTAAGTCTTTCCCTGTTCCACCACAAATGATTCAAGAGCTGTGTGGTAATTAGCACAAGGAGTTGAATCAGATGTGTTAAATGACGGGAAACCCAAAAATGTGCAGGGGCTCCAACCCACCACGACTAGAGTTTGACACCCCTGGCTTAGAGTGACACCAGCTTTTGCCTTTTATTAGCATTCCCTGGAGAACAGAGCAGGATTTCTTGGTTAACTGGGTAACTTCTTGGATTGAAAGTAGTCTGGGCTAAATGATCTTTATCTTCGTTCACTTACATTTAGCTCAGACCACCTTAAGTCCAACAAGTTATCTGGCTAAGTAAGAAATCCGGCTTTGTGAATCAGGCCCCTGGAGTGCTGCTGTAATATGTTGCTGTTTGGGGAATATACATTGACAATGTTGGGGAAGTTACCCACAAAAGTAATCCATTACAGACAGAGATTGAAAGTTCAGGTCCAGAAAGTACGAAATCCAGACCAAGGTTTTCTTTCAACCAACCAGTTTAGCCTAAAGAGTCGCTCAGCAGGTTGGTTGAAACAAAACCTTGGCCTGGATTTGTACTTTCTGGACCTGAGCTTTCCACCAATGTCTTTAATAGATTAGTTTTGTGAGTAACTTCCCTAACATTGTGTATAGGAAACTTTGAAGCTGATGAGAAGTGAAGGTGTTTTGCTTTACTCAGTAGTATCACAAGGGATGTCACAACCCCATATACCAAATAGGCTTTTTATAGTACATTTTCCTAGAATGTGTCACTCAGCAGGCTAGGACTCTGTATCCATGACCGGAAGGTTGCCAGTTCAAATCCTGGGACTGGAAGACTGATACCACCATTAGGTTCTAGAGCAAGGCCCCTAAATCCTCAATTGTGCCAGGCACCAGAAAAGTGCCAGACCCTACTCTCGGACCCCAAACTTCATTCTCACTTGAATGTGTATGTCTGAAAAAGAAGTGCAAGATGTGATATGTGAAAAGAGCATTCCAGTGTTTCCATAGTCATATTTGCACAAATGGCTAATAACGAAAATACACTTTTGACACGTGTGCATGTGCCTCTAGCATTCATCAGGCTCAGTTGAGGTTCGCATAAGAACAAATGTAAACATGCTCAAACATTTTATCTTCCTTTCTGCTAATGGTAACAATGAAAGCAGTCACATCCTGCATTTGCCTATTGGTCAAAACTAGAAATGATCGCAGAGCACATGTAACCATCAGCTCGACAACACTCATCGGTCCTCTATCAAATTCACTACTTTCTATGACTGCTGTTCCTTAAGTTAGTGTGCTACCAAAGCCATATCTATGCATGAGACCTCAGTTATGCAATATGTTTAACTCTTTATAGAACTACCCTGCAGGAGCCTTGTCATGTACACAAGCAGGGAGTCTACCTGATTTGCCACACAATTCTTACACTGTATAAAGTACAAAGTAAAGTCTAATGCAGTGCATGTGAACTGTGAATGACAGAATGTCTAACGAAGAATTCCTGCTTTTATGTCTCTTGAGAAATGGGCACGCCAAATCAAACTACCGAACTCTCCTGACGCAACCGCAGCCGCCCTTCCAACCCGAGTTTCTGTGAGCTAAACCTACATTAGAGTTAGTTAGGTTCAGAGCATTAGATTACATGATAACTGAGCGATGCTCACTCTAACGTGGAAAATCAGGTTTTAGCTACAAATTCCGTATTATTTGCAAAACTACATTCTGCAATATACCCCCGATCCTTATTTCATTCTGCTGCGTTGGGGTCTGTAAACAAAGGCGTTGCTTTTCTCTTCGCACGCAGCGGCGAACGCGACTACGTTGACTCGGTCAACACGTTGATGAGTCACACGATTATTGTAGCCAATCAGCGGTCACTGCGCGTTGTTCTCCTGATGACAAAAGCAACTGGGCCGCCGACACTCTCACTAATCCGGGTTGTTTCTCGCGTGAGAAGTGACGTGGCTCTCGCGCATGTAAACACTGAGCGCTCTCGGCTGTAGCCCCACCGCCGTTTACCTACGGAGTCCGTGTGTTTGGCGTCCGTGCTTGTCCGCCTATATACTCGAAACTGCAGTTTTAGAGGGGACAGAAGCCTCCGAGATAAACTCTCATTTTTAATTAATGCGCGGTTAATTCTCTAGTTCATCAGCAGCACCAGGTGAGCCTTTTATTTCCCTAATGGGAGCTTCTCTCTTTCGGTTATTTTAACATATTTTGGCCGTTAGCATCGCGTCCCACTACGGCCCAATTTACTGTTTGTGTTTGGGTTTGTTCTGCGTCTGCCCTGACTTTCTATGTCGCTTGTCGCGTTCATTTCCTGCTCTTCGGTCTCCAGCTATCCTCCCAAAAACAAACCTCCAGTGCTGGTGGCTGAAGGCCATGAAAAACCTCATATACTTCCGCTGGCGTCAGATTGGAAGCTATTAAATTTTTTTACATATTATATGTAAAGGCAAACATCTCTTTTATTGCCATTTTCATGCAGAAGTGCCACAAATAGCATCAACTGAATAACCGCGTCTGAATTTAAGAGGCTTAAGCTGGTAAACACCAAACGTATGTTTAACCGATCAAAGTACATTAAAAATATTTGCGCCCGGCGGATCTTAAGCAAATAATGTAATAAGTAATTTTACTTTTTGGATCCTCTGCTTTCGAGTGGGATTTTATTAAAAAAAACCTTCAGGCCAGGTCGTGGATTTTAAGTATGCGATGGTCTAAACCGTTATTGAACTTGCAGCAAATCCTGACTGAGGGACTGTAATTCTTAAAAATGCAGTCCCACTGTTCCAGTCAGTATTTAACACTGCCTTTAAAAAGTGCCATATAGGGTTACTTTTTTCATTAGGCTTTGTCCCATGATGACCCGTTTGCTGCACTTCAACATGACATTTTCACATGGAGCGTTAAATGTCCAGCGTGGCTTGTAAATGATTACCTGGTCATTTCCACAGGAGCTCTGTTTGAATGCTGCTAAAACGAACAGATTTTTGTTCGTACCGGTTTGAATCCGTATTCCCACACCTGGCTCCAGGTAGCCATGTATGTCAAGTGTATAGGGGACATAAACGCACATCTGTGTGCACTTGGAGTTGTTCTGTCAAATAAGTGTCGCTCAGAACCTGCATCATATTTGCACCAGGTAGTCCCAAGGTTCCCTTATCAGAGTCGGACTCAACGATTCATTTCAGATTGTTTCGAGTTCTCTTCTCAACACACCTACCGGGAAACAAAGCAGTAGAATTATATTTTTAAAGCAAAGGAACAGCACTGCTATGTGACAGACACCACAATATTTCCGTGTGCATACAGAGAAATACACGCACACTTCATTTCACCATATGGTGGCGTGGGACATGTAGTAAATATTTAAGACCTGCTGAAACGGCATTGGAGTAAACGGCTGTATTTTGCTCTAATGTATTTTAAGGTGACTTTCTGGTTTTCACACCTCCGGCTGCAGGTGCGATCGGGGAGCAATGGCGGAGGGTGGATTTGATCCGTGCGAGTGCATCTGTTCCCACGAACATGCCATGAGGAGACTGATAAACCTGGTGAGGATCCTCGTCCGCGGGGTGCTTCGGGAGCCAGCGCCGCGGTCAAGGTGCCGAAAGCTTCTGAGAAAAATCAAGGACGGCTATGAGCCTTCCAGAGGCTGACTGCCAGTTTTGTTCCTCGTTACTTTGTTCCGATGTGTGTCTTGTCAATTTTTATGGTATTGTGAATTTTTAAAGTAATTTTGGCCGCGTAGCAGCTTTTCTGATGTATGTGACTAAAGGCATCCGCAACACATGGCCCTGAACTGCAGTGACTTGACACCCGGAAGAGGATGTGCTTGGTCTGAGCAAATGTTTTCGCAGTAATGCTCTTTGCCTTTGTTTGTTTTGTGGGCAGTCTGTATGGTTACAGCCCCTGGCAGATAACCAGGGAGACCAAGACTTGGGCAGAGGTGCCTGTTCTCATACCAGTGGTCATGCGTCACATGGCTTTACTGGTACGCCTTCCAGGGCTGTAGGGAGACAGATTGGTTACCTGCCTGCGCTTGTGCTATAAGGCTGGGAGGGTCTTTTTGCTGGGCCTCTAAAGTGCCTTATGTCTGCCTGCATGTTTGGGGACAGTATACTGTATACTAGGCTATGAGAAAGATCAGTGTGTGTGAGGATTTTTTTTTTTATGGTCTAAGGTACTTGTAGTTGTCTTGGCTGACATTCCAAAACAGCTTCAGTTCTGTAATATGTGGGTTCAATCTAACCCTAAACCTCATTTTTACTTTATAATATATGATGGCAACAGTGCTGATACTTCCTCATTGCCCATTCTTTGTTCCTGTGATGCTCTTGATAACAAAACCCCTTCGGCTGTTACACCACAGGGTGTGTTATCGCACTTGTAGATACCTTGCCAAGTTCGTAGAATGTTCATCTGAAATTTACAAAAGGTGCACAGATCCTGGAAACAAATTCTGAGACTAATCGTAAGCCGTTAAATTCTCCGGTGTTGATTCTGAGATCAGAGCTTGGTGTTAGAATGGGGAAAAGGCAGGCAGAAGAGACTCTGCTTCCGTGCCATTCTTTCTGAATGACTTCCCCTTAACGTGAAGCATATTTTCCATCTTGCCGGCTTCGAGTCACACGAAGAACGAAGGACATGCTGCAGAATAAGGGGCTTTTTCAGGACTGCTGTCACGGTTTGTCCGCTAGGCTAGCACAGCCCCAGGAAACTAGTTTATCTGGTTGGCAGAGAATGTAAACATTAATTGCCTAGATATGGGCATAAATTGGTAATTGTGCTTCTGGTTTTGAGTTGGATGTTTTGGCTGTGTTGGGCTTTCCTTGCATTGGGCCAGGAGAAGGTCCTCTGGGGACTGGTTCCTGTTATCTGTGCCCTGGGACTGTGTGCTGTCACAGCGGTCAAGCTGCTGGTGTCCCCTCTCTTACCAGGCCACACCAGTAACCGCTGCTTCAGTGTCCAGCCTTGGGTGGAATGGCCAAGCAGTGCTCTTCTCCAGCAATCCCATGATTGGGTGAAAGACGCAGTCATGCAGAGCAGACGTGGAGAAGGACAGCTGGCCCCCATTAATGGGGGGGGGGGGTTATGGCAGGTTGATGGGTCGTTCCATAAAAAATACCGTATGAATGTGCAAATCATGGGGGAAACGTAGCTGTGTTATGATTACCTCTGTCCCTGGGGCATTCGGTCACTTGGTTTAGACTAGGCTGTGAGTTTTAACACATGGTAAATCCCACTTTGAAAGCGTGTTTTCCTCGCTTTACCTGTTGCGTATGCAGACCGTATCCTAACTGAAGTCTGTAACAGGGCTGAACAGCACGACGTAAATGTCAGTTTGTGTGCCTGATTGCATTGTCTCTCCTTTCTTTTCTCTTGTAGCTGCGACAGTCCCAGTCCTACTGCACAGACACAGAATGTCTCCAAGAATGTACGTATTTTCTCGTGTGTTCGTGCGAGATGCAGTTTACTTGGCAGATCCGTCTTTCTGTTGAGAGACCGCTGTCATCTAGTCGCTGGAGCAGTTAGGGAGCTTAGAGGCCCAATGGTGATGTTAGTATGCCAACACTGGGACTCGAACTAGCATCCTTCCAGTCACGAGCAGTGTGTTTTAATCCACTTCATTTCATGTCATCTAGTGTGTAGATTTGCTAGCCTATTCCCAGTTTTACTTTTGCTTTAACACTTTCTTGGGTAATGTGGTGCCCCTCGACATTCTGTCCTGACAGAGGAGGCCTGTTTGCTGAGGCAGGAAGCACAGAATCTCAGCACATTCTGGCCCTCTGGTGTTTCGTGCACCAATAAATGAATGGATCTCACCCCTTATAACAGCACTTATTTCAGTTAAATACTCCATGGTGAATCTTTCCTCACTTGCGGTGAAGGGCTATTTGGTCTAACATCCATGGCCTTGCAGTTAAATCAGTATGTACAACATAACTTTAGATTTGGTTTGGCTTTGTCATTGCACAAAGTATTCGGACAACAAAATGCAGTTTGGTATGTAATCCAAAAGTTCGAAGGGTGCAGGGACATCTGTTTTCAAATAAAGTGCATCACACGAACATGGCATTGATAGTAAGTAAACATTCTTTTTCACAAATATTTCTTCTTGGGTAATTTTCCCAGCTTTATGCTGTCCAGTTTGCTGAACATGGGTCTTTGACACGGAAACAAATTAATGAGTTATGTTTGCTGTGCTGCGTCGACTACTGTGTAGGATTATGATTGGTGAATATCAAGTTAAGGGGGGTTTATTGTCATCCTATTTGAATACAATGACACGGACTGGCGTTTACCCAGGAACGACGTGGAACAACATTGACCAGGAGGATTTTCACAGTACTTAAAGTGTAAAAACAGGGGATGGACAACAGTGTTTGTATACCCAGTGCAATATGTATGCTTGTAAGCAGCAGAAGTGGAAATTTCAGGTCCAGAAAGTACAAATCCAGACCAGGATTTTGTTTCAACCAACCAGTGAAGTACTCTGTAACTGTGACTCTTTATGCTCAACTGGTTGGTTGAAACTAAATCACGGTCTGGATTTGTACTTTCTGGACCTGAAATTTCCACCTCTGGTAAGCAGCCAGATTCATATTGGTACAAGACCCGAGGTCAGTAATTCTGATGTCAAAGTAGAAGTCATCAGTCTACATTTTTATTCAGTCATCAGTGTATCGTTTTAGTTTTTAGTTCTGGACTGTTACTGTCAGCGTGTTTTAACGAGGAACGTCTTCCCGCAGTGCCCAGCCCCGGCATTCCAGAGGGTGGCGATCTGACGTTGCCAATGATCTTGATGGGCTGGGTGCTTATCGCCCTGGTCCTCTTCCTCCTAAGACCTGCCAGCCTGAGGGGCCCCGGTGCTGCTGGGAAGCCATCTAGCCCGCATAATGTAACTATCATGGGATCTGCTCTGTGGAATGTTCATGCAGTGTGTGGAGTGGGACACGCTCATGGGAGTTTTACTTAAACAAAAATGTTATGAGGGCAGAATGAAAAATGATTGGTTCTGCGATAACCAATCAGATTGTAGAGGAGGTGGGCCCAAGGAACTAGAGGAGGCAGGACCAACCAATCAGATGTCTGACTCCCACCTCCTCTAGTTGCGTGGACCGACTTGTTTTTGCCGTCTGTTTTTAATTGTGCCGAACCTGTCATTAAGAAATTTCATGGTACATACGCTCCTCTACTTACAAATGAGATGCGTTCATATGCTGTTCATAACTTCAAATGTTCGTAGGTCGTTATTCGACAATTTTTAAGGGTATATACAAGTACTAAGTACTAGGATGCTGGGAGTATGCACGCTACGCTGCTGTGCGACGGGAGTAGCGGCCAGAAGTCCTACTAGGCGGAATTAGCGTGCAGAAAAAAAAAATTGATGAAACTGGACCCCAAGGAACACATTTTGGACTTGCAGTCCTCTTCATTCGTATGTCTGAAAGTTCGTAAGTAGAGGAGTGTGTGTACCTCTAATTTTGATGTTCAGTGTGAAATGGTTAAATTGTCCACGTCACCCTGTATCACTATTTATAATTCCATATTAGCTGTAATCCCATACTCGCTCTGCTTTGTGGGAGGGGGGGGGGTTCTCATCCCACAGGACAGGCTTTTGTCCTCCACCGCTGTTGTTCTCGCCATCTGCAGTGATCTGTAAGATGAGCTTTTTCTCTCATTTGGGGCTTCCATAGAATCAAGGAGGAGAGCCGCCGAGCCCACCTGTGGACTAGCGCCGGACCCGGATAGCGGCGGACACAAAAAGCAGCCAAGGATTGAACGTGACTCCATCAGCTACTGTGACCCCCGATTTAAACCTGCAGAATGTTTACTTTTTTTGTTCGCATTTCTTCCCTTATTACCCCCGCCCACCCTGTTTATGGTCTTGGTGATTAGTGCGGTTCTTACCGTAGTAGTATGTGCTTTAGGATGGCAGAGGAAGAGTTTGGTGATGCAAATAATGGCCACACATGTTTTTTTTTGCATTTGCACATGCACTTGGGAAATGTCCATGTTATAGCAAGGAGGCAGATCGGCAACAGTCAGGGAATCGGACGACTCTACATTCCATTAAATTGTTGGGTGAAATTACTCTGTAACTGGGTGGTGCTTTATGGACAAGAAAACTAGCCAATGAATGAAAGGGTCATGAGACATGACCTGCAATGCATGCAGAAGGAATGCTGTCAGCTCCAGTCACCCAAACTCATCAGCAAGACCCTCAATTCCTTGCGCCGACTCTTTACCTCTTGCTTTACTCCGAGACATTTGTGATTTTTCTTTTTTTTTTGTAGATCAGGAAAACGTTCCGGCTGTGAATGATTGGTCAGATGCACATAAAAGCTGATTCACAGCGGGTCTTAAACTATCTTGTTGAATAGCAGAGGCACAGTTGTGCGATGGTTTCTATAGGTGCATTAATTTTGCCTTGCCTGTCGAAAAGAAATCCACAGATTTGTGGGTTTGCCGAACAGGTACTCGGCTTCCAAAGCAACAGCGATAAGTATCTTGCCGAGTGAAAGATCTGTAGGTGTAGTCTTTCAAGGTTTAGGTTGAAAGGTTTTGACTGAGTGCAATAATTTCAACAAATGGCATTTAATTGTATCAAGTAATTCATAGGACACCTGTTACTAATATGTTGCATATACTCAAAAAGGGTTGTTATTATATGTTTGTCAAAGCTATTGCTTAAATGTATTTACACTCAAAAGCAGTGATGTATGGGAAATGGTTAATCTTATAGGTGATAAACCTATATAATCACTTGACTTTGGACAACTACGGAGGTTACAACAGCCCCACAAGTGATGTGGGCATTTGAGGCGTTCTAGTGTCAGGACATCGCTGATCGATCGGCCGTGCCTTCGCTCACAGGCTGTCTGTTCTGTGGTTCACGTTTGTTAACGCAGGATGACTTGCCCGAGAAGTTCGAGATGATAATACACGCCTTATTCACCCGTCTGTCATCATGAAAGCATTACGCCTCCTGCAGTGAGCCTCATTTTGAAATGCGTAATTTTCCCCACAACTTCCCAAACCTGTTTTAAACCAGGGGCCTGAGGTGTCAGACTTTGTGTGGTGAAGTTCTATGTCTCATGCAGTGTTTCTGTTTGTCTCATTGGAATGTGACCTTCAGACTCTGATACCTGTATATATGTAGATACTTGCTGACCCCTTGTGCTGGGAGGGAGTAAAAATGTGGACTGTCTGGGGCTCCCCGAGGGCTGGGTTGGGGAAACACTGGTCTGAAGAAGGAAAAAAATTGTAAAATCTGCTACATGGATTTAGCTTTAAGCCATTTTCCATGTTTTATTTTTTCCGGAAATGATTGTACCGGAGTATGTTAATCAATTAATTGTACCGGAGTATGTTAAAGAATTAATACTCGATTCTGCGCCAAACCCATATAAATTTTGATTATTTCCTTAAAAGAATAGCCACACTTTTACCTTCTATAATGGCATCTTATACTTAACAATGGCTTACATTATAGTGACACAGTTCATGTACTTTATGGTATGGCTGTTTGTTTAAGATCAGCTATCTTTACAGAGACGTAATGTGTACTGCAAGGAAGGTTGTGGTGTGGACTTGCCAAATTTATTGATTTTTTTTACTGTAGAAATCATATTTGGTGCCATTTCAACTGTTTTTGAACACTGTACTGGGACATTATAAAGGGCTTTAACTATGCACTTTTCTGAACTTCAAATAAATTAATACATTATCTGGGTGTTGTGTGTCTGTCACTCTTGTGCTGTGATATAACTGGGTAACTAAATGCCAGACATGGAAATTAATGTTCATATTCTTCATATTGCAGAGAAAGACCTAAACACTTAAACTTGACCAGCTGATCAGTGGTTGGTCTATCAAGCATGCAAATATTAGTAATTTACAATTACCGTGATCGTTAATTACTTGCGTTACTGATATTTAGTACTACGTTTTATTCTTCATTGTTTCTTTTCATCGTAATTATTTCGTTCCCTTTGTTTAACAACTCAGACAAACATCAATTACAATACAAAACAATCCAAGCACCATGCACAGCCTTACAAAAGTTGCCAACCTCGATCAAAGACGAACGTTTCATTTCGAAATATGTTTAGAACATGAATGATAAATCACGTCATGCTAAGCCTCGACATTCATAGATCTACGTCATTGGCGTCCCAGTCATCGATTGGCTGTCGCAGATGGACGCTTACGTACCCCGGAAGAATATCGAGCTCCCAAGTCTCCACGTTCTCCGATAAACACTTACAGCTGTTTATTACTGTAACACGTCGGCGGCCGGCGGTAGCTTTTCTACAGCCCTGTGGACTGACAGTCGGCGTTAGGGCACGACGGCGTACTTACCATTAATTATACTGTGAGGAACGGGCGACTTTTGATACAGTGTATTACCTTAAGGTAGGTTGTGATTTGGTTTATTTGTGCGATTTGGTCGAGCACGTTATTCCACTGAACTTTGTACCTTTTTAAAATAGCATGCCACTGATTTTTTTTTATAATCTTATATCCTACTGCCTATCTTTTAATAAAACTATTTTGATGTTATAGTATTTATCACATAGTAGTATGGTTCGCTTTTAACAAAGCTAAATAAGTGTAACTTTACAGCCTGTTTCTGACACTGATAAGATGGTCTTTAGACGTCACATAGCCTTTGCTGTTGCCTCCAATACATGAATAACTAATCATTTTAAGGTAACTACAGCTAGGTCCGACCGATCGAGGCAATACGTTTGCTGTAGGGACCTCTGAGCAACATTTAATTTGGTGGACCTTGTTCTTGTTCAGATGTTTGAGATAAAGAGGATCTGCTGCATAGGCGCTGGATATGTTGGTGGGCCAACGTGCAGCGTGATCGCTCATATGTGTCCGGAGATCAGAGTCACTGTGGTGGACGTGAATGAGTCCAGAATCAAGGCATGGAACTCGGACACGTTGCCCATATACGAGGTACATTAATCGGATGTCTCTCCTTTTGTTTTTGCCTTAGGTTTAGTGCACCAGAGTGAACTAAAGACTATTTGTGGATCAGAAAACAGAAAGTGATGACTAGGAAAGTGTGGAAAATATATAAATAAGTTAATGCACGTAGGGTTAGGGTTACAAAAATAATATACTTATCTTTGCATACTGTCATATGCTTAATGTGTTGTGTGTCTCTTCCAGTTCCATGTACCCTCTTTCTGTCTGTCATCTAACCTGATTTCGCATCATATGGTCTGTCCTGTGTGTCATTTGACTGCCAGCCTGGTCTGAAGGAGGTTGTCGAGTCGTGCCGAGAGAGAAATCTCTTCTTCTCTACGGATATCGACTCTGCAATCAAAGATGCAGACCTCGTCTTCATTTCTGTAAGTGAACGTTTCACAAATGGACGTCTAGTTTATCCTGTCGAAAGTATTAGTTCCAGGACATTGGCAGGACTATGACTCATCCTGAGCCTCTCATCTAGGTGAACACCCCTACGAAGACGTATGGCATGGGGAAAGGGCGAGCGGCCGACCTGAAGTTCATCGAGGCTTGCGCACGCCGGATCGTGGAGGTGTCAGACGGCTATAAGATCGTGACCGAGAAGAGCACGGTTCCGGTCAGAGCCGCTGAGAGCATCCGGAGGATTTTTGATGCCAACACCAAGCCGAGCCTTAACCTGCAGGTAGGGCGTGTGGATGCCTGCAGGCTCATCCCCTGAGCCGTAGCAGGACGTGGTTCCTTTTTACCCAAGTCCCAACTCGCTGATAAAAGCGGAAAATGTGACAGTGAGCAAACACAGTCACTGCGACTTCGTAAGCCGGATCAGGCGGGCAGGTGTGTAGGGAAGCAGTTTCGTGTGTCTGGACATTTTGCGGAATGCGTGACCTTTACCTATTTCTTGTTTGTGTGTGTTGATGAGCCTCGTCTTGCCTACACTGTCAAAGAAACAGGCTAATCAGCTTTTAGTCTGCTGGTATGAAGTACCAAATGGAGAAAACAGTCATCAATGGATTCTTTGAGGAGAATGGCGTCACGATTCCATATCCTGGTCTTTCATAGGTCCTATCTAACCCAGAGTTCCTGGCCGAGGGTACGGCGGTGCGGGACCTGAAGGAACCGGACCGGGTTCTGATTGGCGGGGACGAGACACCGGAGGGGCAGCGTGCCATTCGGGCCTTGAGTGCGGTGTACGAGCGTTGGGTCCCCAAATCTCGCATCATCACCACCAACACGTGGTCCTCGGAGCTGTCTAAACTGGTGAGTCCATCACTGGTGCCAGCTGGTCATGTCCCTCCGCTTTGACTGTGCATCTCGTTTGATGCCACTGTGTCTGACGTCACCCGGTCACCCATCAGGCTGCGAATGCCTTCCTGGCTCAGCGAATCAGCAGCATCAACTCCATCAGCGCCCTGTGCGAGGCCACGGGTGCCGACGTGGAGGAGGTGGCACGTGCCATCGGCATGGATCAGCGCATCGGGAACAAGTTCCTCAAGGCCAGCGTGGGTGAGGCTCAACCTTCAGACTCTACCCTTTAGGCTCCCGCGCCAGTGTCTCTGAAGCCTATCTGATGTTTGTCGGATCTGTTTGTCCATGACGCCTCCCCCCCCCCCGCCCCAGGTTTTGGTGGCAGCTGTTTCCAGAAGGACGTTCTCAACCTGGTGTATCTCTGTGAGGCGCTCAACCTTCCAGAGGTGGCTTCTTACTGGCAGCAGGTACTGGGACTGGCTCAGTAGACACTGGGGGCCTGTATCACAAAGCCAGATTCTTTGCTTAGCTGGATAACTTGGTGGATTTAAGGTATCCCAATTTAAATAGACTTTAATTTTGTTCGCTTACATTTAGCTCAGATTACCTTAAATCTGACAAATTTTCCAGCTCAGCAAGAAATCCTGCTTCAGGATATGGGCCCCAGCGCCGGCTGTCTTAATCGTACTGCACCGAGTCAGTGTTTTGTACTGTTTTGTATTGTTGTGTGTTATTGTGTTATTAATATCCAGTATCTATTGTTTAGTGGTAATTGTGCAACTGTTCTTTGTTGCAGCTGTGTAATATTCTTTAGAAATGTAATTTTGTTTAATCTGTTTGAGGTGACAGCAAGGTGACCTGAGTTTACAGGCAGCAGTTTCCAGTATAACTGGATCTTATACCATTATATGGATTTTAAGTTTTGAATTAGTCAAAAGTTTTTGCACGTCACAGGTTTTTACTACTCTCCCATTTATTTTATAAACTGTAGATTTTTCTTTTTCTTGTTAACTATAAATTAAAATATAAATCAAAATAAGTTTCCTTTATAACATGGAAATAGTATGTAACAGTGCATGCCTGACATCCTATTAACTGCTAGAGGATGTTACTTTGAATCAAAGGTATGACATTTTCTTGCTAATAAAGGTACTCAATTGGTGAACATACTGTAAATTTGTTAGCAAAGAATATTAAGTGCATTTTTAGTAAATGTTAAGTGAGTAACATGCAAGCGTAGAAAATCTGTGTGCAAAAACTTTTGACTGGTAGTGTAAATCCTACCCGGTCTCACGCCTTCCGGTGCCGGTCTCAGGTGATCGATATGAACGAGTATCAGAGACGCAGATTCGCCTGTCGGATCATCGACTGCTTGTTCAACACCGTTACCGGGAAGAAGATTGCCCTCCTAGGCTTCTCCTTCAAGAAGGACACAGGCGATACGCGGTACGCCCTCCTCTGTCACGCTCCATCTTCCTGTCTCATTCATGCTCTTCTTGATGGATTCTAGAACAGTCCAGTGTCCACACAGTGGCCTTTTCCCCCAGTTCAGCAAACAGAATGTGGTGTTTGATGTTAATTTAACTTTTCTGTTGCTGGTTTTACTGTCCTGCAAACTTTCTCTTTTGGGCTTTTCTCACAAACTGAGTTTGACTTTGACTCTGTAGAGCCTGCCTTCTTACAGTGGGATGCAGGTACAGATTATCTAAGGTTATAAGAGGGCTTTGCTGACCTCCTATCCAGGGAGTCGTCGAGTATCTACATCTCCAAGTACCTGATGGATGAGGGAGCCAAGCTACACATCTTTGACCCCAAGGTGCTTAAGGAGCAGATCATTCAGGACCTCTCCCACCCCAGCATTTCAGAGGATAACCCAGAACGAGGTGCGTGGTTAACAGGACGCCGGCACCCCTTGTCACCATATGGAGAGTGGCTGAAACGTTTTCGATTGGTTAAACCATCGTGCTAACAGTGCCTGGTTTTGTGCAGTGTCTGACCTGGTGACAGTAACCAGCGGCCCTTATGACGCATGCAAAGGAGCCCACGCCCTGGTCATCTGCACGGAATGGGATATGTTCAAGGTGCCGTCCTCTCCCCGTGCTGAAGTCAAGCTACCCTCAGCCAGCACCACTAAAATAATACCAGTATACTCTCAACAAAACAATTATTCACTGATGGCACTTTTCTACTGCTGGCAAGAACCGAGCCATAACCACAAACTGGCGCTTTTCCATTGTGAACTGTCTGAGCCGTACCCGAGCCGTACCCACACTGACATGGCCTTTCTTACTGGCAGGGATGAAAGTGTAACCAAACCAAGCTGGTTACCATGTGATTGGTTGAAATGCAGGGAGATATCAGTGATGTGTCAATATCCATGGATTATAAAAGGAATATTCCATATATTATTCATTATTAATATTATCGCACATCGCAATGTATTGATGCACCTCAACAGCTGAATGGAATGGATTCGTAATGCAAATTTATGCAAGAAAATGCTAATTCTTGCAAGAGAATGCTGACGCTTGCATAACAAGGAGATTCTCACAGATGTGCTAGAAAATTAGGAAATTAGCACACAGTAAATCAGGATGTACACAGTGTGAACAGCAAATAAGTGTTTCTTCGGTTTTACGTCACTGCCGCTCTCCAAACCCAGCGATGCCTTTACTTAGCCGAACCGTTTGTCGTGGAAAACCCGAACAAGCTGGAACTGCACTGGAACTGCACTGGAACTGTTCTCTCTTCATGGTACGGCTTGGGTATGGGTCGGTTCCTGTGTGCCAGTGGAAAAGCGTCATAACCGCTATGATCAGTCATACATTAGTAACCTCATAAAAAAATTAATTACTCGTTTTGAATACAACCACAATAATTTTTTAGAAATAACTGTTATTAGAATTTGAAATGTACATTAAATTCTTCATTTATGTAACAATTTTTTTTTAAAAATCCATTAAGGAACTGGACTATGAGAAGATCTATGCCCAAATGCTGAAGCCAGCCTTCATATTTGACGGTAGACGTGTTCTGGATCATCTCCACGCAAAACTGCAGAACATAGGGTTCCAGGTACGCTTCCATAATGAATCACACGCCTCTCCTGACTAAATAAATTCGCTTTATGGCACTGTGACTACAGCCCGACCGTGGACATGATCTGAACCAGGAATTACCTGGAGTTAGACGTGACCTGAGTTTCATTAAT